GGGTAGACCGAAGAGAAGAATTGAATTTATTTTAGTTTGCTTGTTTCAGTATATTTTCTATTGTTTAAAAATGTTTAGTTTTTATTAGTTTTAGTTTTTTATTATAATATGGGACGTATTTGTCAGGGGCAAGAGTTAAGAAGTTCAGAATAGGTATTACAATACAAACACATTGACTCGCAGTCATGTAGACATCCTAATCTCAATAAACAATGCCTCCTCATGCTTGGCTCATTTTTGGGATCAAGTCTAGTTTTTATTTTTATTTCAATTCACTATAATGTTTCACGCCTAGTTTTAGTTATCTATAATAAATTGTTATGGAGACAATACATCGTCTGGTCTAGTTGCTTTAGTGTAAACTGGCAGGGCTACAGAATGTTTTGCAAGCAGTTACAAGTTTCAACTTGTCTCATTGCAAATCTTTGGTCTGAACTATAAATCTGCATTTTAAATAGTACTTTTTCTTAAAAAATAACAATACCAGATTTTAGTGTGCAAATCAGGTATGCTTAGGTACATGACTGGTGTCAACACACCATGAAGGTAATGCCCTATCAGTCTGGAATATTATAGTGGCCCATTGTGGCTCTTGTTTATAGGAGTGGGCATTTACACATTATGTTTTCTTGACCCGTAATGATAACAACCAATAACGACTGCCCATACACCATGGCATTATAATATCAATAGCTCTATTCGCAAATGTGTACGTTGTTCTTTTTGTTCTCCTCACATAGCTCTACAAAATAAATTCACTTTCTAACTATACAGTTTATAGTAGACTGATGAAGGTATTGGAGGATGTGTTTTTTATGTTTCTAAGACCAAAACTTAAGGCAGTTTGGTGAAATTTCTGTTTTATGGTGCTGGCTGATTAAAGACCTCAGAAGGCTAAATAAGACTGAAATGCTACTTTTTTTAAATATATTGTCCAGGTCTGCCATGTTGCTGTGCTGAGCTGGAAATTGACCAAATATACACATGGGCCATTTTTAGCCCTCTAGTCCACACCATGGTATTAAAAATAACATAATCTCTTCTGTGTGACTCACATTATTCTTTATTATGTTTAATTTTATGTCACTATGTGCATATACATTTATATGTATTGTATTTGCAATGCATATGAGATCACTATAGTGAATAGATGTAGAGATGTTGTGCAAGTATTTCAGTTTGTTGATTCTGATATATAATGTATCTTCCATAATGAATGCAAATGGAAAAAAAAGCAAACCAGTAAAAAAATCTGGTCACCATATAATCCGGCCCACAGGATCCTGTGTGATGACAATACCAGCAGTGGCCCCAAGACAATCTGAGTTGAGACCCCTGCTCTAGGAGTTTGTGTTTGTTTAAAAGTGTCATTTATCATCAAAGGCCAAGAGCTACATGGCAGTATTTAACTGCTCGTGTTGTTCAAACAGGAGAAGCAAACTAGATGATCAACTTTGGAAACAAACAAAATCGCGCGCAAAAGACCGGCATAACAGCATGTTTCTCTGTGTTCAGCTTCCTTAGTTACAAACTTGCATTTGTTTTCTAATCCAGTTACAGTTCTCCCTGTCTGGGGTGTTAATAGCTGTTTCTCTAATGAGCTTAAATCTAACCACTGCTGATCCAGACAGACGGAAAATTATTTAGGGCAGTGACTGTTGGAACAAGGTTGAACGATTCTACCTGCTATTATACATTCCTGTCAGGTGAATGTATCCAGTTTCCAAGCCCTCACACAATCCAAACCTCTTCCGGGATTGCTAGGACCTACTGAACGCCTGTAAGGCTCAGACTAACCCACCTTGCCCAGGTCCCTTTTGACAGCATCTGCAATGTCTCTCCGTCTGTCTGAGATGAAGCGGAGCAGGCTCTTCAGCTGGTGGACCCTGTACTCCAGAGGTTTGGTTTTCCCTGTGTGGAAGGACTTCCTGGCCCTTTGTACAACCAGCTGCTCTCGGGACATCTTGAATAGGACATGAACAGACAGTATGAGGGCCAATGGTACCTTTCTGGTTTAATTTATGAACTATTATTCCATTAAGGACTTAAGATAACGATAAAGTTATTGTGCATGTGATGTGAATATGCTGTCGTACACCTTTCTTTTAGCAAACACTAACTGTACTGTAAAGGAGACAATGACAGCACTAGTTATAATCAACTAGCAGCAAGTCAATACCGGGCGTGTTAATAATACAGTCAGTAAGTTATATAACGTTAACAGCTAAGTTAGCTGTATTCTTTGGATGAACACATTCACCCTGGAAGCCCAGTGGCTTAGCTTGGTTGCTAACGGGCAGTGATAGCATTGGGAATGTTGTTAAATAGCGAGCTATAGCAAATATACGAACAAACATAGCAACTTTTACCTTTCAGAGTCACCACTCGTCCGCTCTAACCAGTTGTATTATCAACTATTAAGGCTAGTGGCTAACTAGTTAACGTACAAAGTTATAACGTCGTGCGGTTAGCTAGCCTACCGCCGAACGGTGTTAGCAATTGGTCTGTAGGTGTGTCAATCAAAAAAAAATAACCAATCCGCTACAAAACATAACCAGCTGAGCTCCTCCCTCCATAGCAATAACAACAACAGTTTAGCCGCAGGCTGCAGGTAACTGCGGTGAGGACGTTGTTACCACCATTACAAATATGTAACCCACCCGGTTCTGTGACCGGTGGTTGGTTAGGTTTAGGCACGAGGAGGGGGGTTAGGGCTGATTCAGAAAAAATCAGCCGGGTTAAGAATCAAATCAGTGAATCTGACAGGTCCCAGACAGAAAGGGGTAGGTCGGATTTTGATTCGCGTCTTTTCGCGCTGTTACGGTACAGCTGCTTGGAGCGACCAAAAAGGAGAAAAGCCAGCAGTAAGATATCACACATAGACATATGTGTGTATGTCGACATCACTCATCAGGATTCAAATTCAACAAATAAGTCCTTTCCATACTGGATAATTAAAGGGGAAGTCAGCTCAAATGACCATACATTATTCACTTTCTAAACCAGAGTTACGTAAATCAGCTACAATGAAAGTATACCATTCATCATTTCCTCATATTTCTACATTTACACATCCTTGACAATGTGTGTGAGAGGAGGTGATATCTGTCAGCCATTGGGAGAGGTTGTATGGATGATTAAATATGCACTATTTACACCCCATCATTTGCACACACTGCACTAACATTTGGTGTGATATGCAGCACAGAACACTGTAAACAACAGAGTAAAGAAACTATTACAACACATGCTGGATTATTTCAGGCATTTCCTTCTCTAAAGAAACACACATACTACTGACACCCACTCATATGACAGGGACAGGTCAGCTCTCTGGGTCTTTTTAATTGTTGTGATCACATTCAGCAGACAGTAGACATGAAGGTGCGTATATGTTAGCCAGACTGGGGAATGCCATACTAAAAATGTAGTTATCACAGTACGAATGGTTAGACTTTATTTCATGACAGATTAAACCACATGTTCCCTGATGCTCCAGATAATTCCAAAGCTACAGCGATTCTGAGAGAAGGTTGCTAAATGTATGAGGCATGTAATTAGTGAGGGAGTTCCTCTTCGGGCCACTTTGTTACTTTGGACTCTGCATTGCACTCTGAGTGACTTATATACCTTACTTGCTCTGAAGAGATTGTCTCATATTATTAGAGGAAAGGACTGGACTTTGTTTATGGAGCCCTCATTTAGAATCTATAAAATAATTTAGACACTGCGGTTTTTTCTCTGTCTTCAACTCTTATGTCAGCTAAGCTTTGTCTAAGATAAAGGTTCCCACTGTGGGTTGCTTAAGCTTCACAGGGGGTCACCAGAACTTCTTGATTTTAAAGGTTCAGTGTGTAACAGAAATGGAATATTATATTCATAGGTATGTTTTCATTAATGTATAATAATAAATCACCTGAATATAAGAATTGTTGTGTTTTTGTTAACTTAGAATGAGCTCCTCCGGAGTCTGCTATGTTGAACCACCATATTTCTACAGCCAGTACACAAACCAAACACTGTCTGTATATAGTAAAACCTTTTGCAAGTTTTGTGGCCGCCATTGTTTCTCCTACACATTCATAGCCCGTTCTCATTCCCAGGTCATCAAAAATTCAGATGCAAGCAGTGTCACTAAATCCTACACACTGGTCCTGAAAGGGATGTAAGAAAATGTTTCAAAAAATAAATACTGTAGGCCTATATCTTATTTTTAAAGTTTATATTATTATTTAAGATTTAAACATAATAAGAAAGCTCAGAGCCTTCACTCTGCTCGACTGATAAACAGTCTCCTCATGCATTAGAAAAGTACAGTTAAAACAACCCAATGAGCTAATAGAACAATGAGAAGTAAACACACAAAAAAGGCCTATTAAGTATGTATGATTGTTATGAATTACAAGAAATTCAAAATACATAAAAAGTTCCAAAAATGATCAGGAAAACTCCTCTCTGATGCAATATTCACAGGAAATAATCTGCTGAAATATCAGCTGTTCTCTACTGTTGTTATGCATTGAATATAATATAAAATACCCATAAAATGTCACTTAGTTTACTCAATGATAGAAAAGGGCCTCTTTAAGGGGAAAGGTTGGGAACCAATGGTCTAAGGCTTCCAATGAGTCTGTTTAAGGTAGCACAATAAAACATTAACCTCCATTGACCTCTCAACATCTGGGAAATCAACACAGAACCAAGCTTGTAAAAATAAGACACAGCAAGACGTCTTTATTTTTTCTCTTTTTAATAACAAAGACCATATTTGTGTTCCATAAAGAACAAAGAGAGACACCCCTTGGTGAGAGACACAAGTATAACATTAACATTTCTCTTTGAAAAATCGGTGCTTGGAAAGTGTTGCATTTTCAGGGTGGTGACTGACGGCGGGGGTTCCTTAAAATGCATTCAGATCAAGCTGGAGAGGCGCAAAAACAACAGGGTACATACATTCAAGATTCTAGAGGTTCTATGGGGTAAAATGCAGACTTGGTACCCATGCTTTATCTAAAACAGTCTTCAGTTACAGTCCGTAGATAAAATGGAACAGAGCAAAGATTCGGGTGGGTTTCTTTCCATCAGCTTTATTTGTCCCTCTTCACTCTGTGTGCAGTAAAAAGGCTTTGTGTGGTTCAGAGTGCTCATGACAAAGACAAGGGGGAACTGGCACCCAGATACGTCAAGGAAAAAGAACAGTACATCAGAGAGACAGGCCCACAGTCGGCTGGGTGCCTGTGAATGCATTTATACACATTTTTACACAGAGAAAGAATGTATTCACACCTGTACAGAGGAGTAGGCCTACGTCTGCTTTCAGAAGAAGAAGGCATCTCCTTTTCCATCGTAACCTGTATATTACTGGCCTTAATGCACACCTGGCAAGTGCACGTGTGTATATATACACTCAAACATACATACAGTACATACACCGTTGGGAGCACAGCAGACGACTTGAAGGGAGGCAGAGGGACTGAGTAGATGCTAGGCAGTGCAGATTGTGACAAAATCAAGTATCACAAAATTTTGGAAAATGAGAATGAAATCTGAAGACATCACGCTCATTTCAGAAAATTTCATAAGACCCACTGAACAAATGTGTGTGTCTTGATCTTAACAACGAACAGTCCTGGTAGAAAGAGTTTTCTGGAAAGTTTTGGAGCTGCCACGAGTTTTATTTTATTCTTTGGCACACCCCTGTTGTGCCAAAATAGGTTTCCTTATCAAACCCTTGGCAGACATGAATAAAACGTATCAAATTCATCTATGTACATATAAAGAATTGTGCTCTTTGACTGACAGGCAGGGCCATCTGATGGTATCATCAACGCCCCCTAAAAACTCAAACTGTGATCTCACACGCACTCACTCCCCTCCCAAAAAAGAGGGGAAAGGAATCATCACATGCACCACATACAAATATATACAAGTTTGCAAACATCAAGTTTTGTTAAAAAAATTAGCTACAGATATTGACAGAACATAAAAAGCTGTAGTATTTTAGTAAAATGAAACTTATTATTAAGGTAACATGTCAAGTAATATGACCATTCACAATTAACTCCATCAGGGTTTAAAGAGGACTCCTGATTGGTTGTTCAGCACTGCAGTGGAGGCCGGAGTAGGGCCCGCCGCCACTGCAGAGGATCTCAAGTTCTGCTTTTCTTCGGAATATCCAAGCCTACACACCAACCTAAATCCACCTAAACCCCTCCTCACTCTGAGAGGCAAAATCAACAAGTCACCACGGCTCTGATACATTCCTGTAAAACTAAACAACAAGGAAAACAATGGGACAAATGTCTGTCGATTTTTCTGTTCCTAAGTGCAAAATGAAGTTAGTACAAGCCGATCAAAGCTTCACAGCTCGATAAATGACGGTTTGATGGCATCTGCCTTAAAATGGCTACATTCTAACTGTAGCCCATTTGTCCATATGCCAGACACAACTACTGTATCTGGAATTAAGGGGATATTCCACCATGTAGCATTACACTTCCATAAAGTTGCAGAACATGCGAAAGACCTATTAAATTAAAAATCATCATCATAAATTATCGAGGAGATAACAGCACTTATGATGTGATCTGGTTTACAATCTCAGATTTCCAGGTGTAAAATGTGGAGGTGTGGCCCTTTAAATGTATCAATTAAATCAGCTAACAAGAGAACAGATCTAGCTGAGCTGTAGCCAGTTTGTCTTGGCTGTCCCAAGTTCCCCAGGTTGGCCTTATGGGAAACGTATGCAGTCTGTAGACTTATTGATCATCCACACAGAGCGGGAAAGTTTCGAAGATGGGAGGTGATTAGTTAACCCTTCCACAGCCTTCAACTTTCTGCCTTCAGAACTTGTACAGATATACGTCTCCTCCTCTCAATCCACAATAAAGTGCTTGAGCTAACAACACATGAGAAAAATAAAAAAGCAATTACAAATCTACAGGTTCCTTTGCTCACATGGCTGTCTGCTTTCTGTAACAGGAGTTTGTGTTTCTTGTAAAAGTTCATGTTGTTTCTGAGTCTCATCTGTTACAGTGATCGGCGGTAAGTCTTTTGCTAATTTCTTCCGTTTCCTTCCACTCAGATACTTGAGGTTTTCAAGACAGGCAGGAGACTCAAACATCTGTGTTCTTCTGAACCAATAAATAAGAACAATAACAACTTAAAACACAGAGTAAATAACCACTGATATCACATAGTAAGCAGGATTTTAAAAAGATGAACTGTGTCATGGGGAGCTCAAGTCTCTTGAAGCCCGCACAGTCTCATAGCCCTGTCCATCCTCTTCTTCTTCTGGTAAAAAAACAAATGATATCCTGAAAGATGGACATTAGTTTTTATATTATATATATATATATATATATATATATATATATATATATTTATTTATATGTTGATCAGGTGGGTTTCCACCATTATAGCGTAAGAAAAAAAAGGATGCACTTGAAGTGCATGCATTATGTCCACATCCGGTTTCAGCCTTTTGTTTCTGGATCCGTTGTCATCTTTGGTTGTAAATTCGTGCATCAGTTGCTTGTCACAGTTCAGTCCGTGATGCAGCCAGTAAAACTAACCGACGATAAATACAGATGAAACCTATCAAATGAAAAGTGCTTGAACTGCTACAGGAGGGAACAGCGGCTTTGTGAGGATGGTAGTCAACAGTCTGAGGACGTGGTCCCTCTGTGTGTGTGCGTGTGTGTAAGGGCTGCTACTCGTACAGTGTGACAGTGCAGTAGCAGAGGGCTGAGATCCTGCGGTCCACGCTGGCCTTGTCTGCAGGAAAAATACACAAAACAACAATATATTAATAGAAGTCGATAAAGCAAACACTTAAATAATAATAAATAATAAAATATAGGTTTTAGACAGACCACAGCTCTGCTGGGCCTCATGCACAAACATTTTCATATATTCTTATCCTAAACCTGTCTTACTTTTGTCTGAGGTTTGCTCAGTGTTACCAGTCAGATTCAGCAAACTCTCTTAACTGAACAGTCTTTGTAAATCACTTGTTCCTACCAATCAGTGATTTGAATTTATTGATAGGGACAATGCAATGTAATATAGTTCCAATACAAGCCATGAATCTGATGTGCTGCACAGAGAGTTTATAGCTATTGCTCATGTTGAACCCTTGCCCCTCGGGCTTTTACATGTACATCACAAAATACACAGCAGATATGATAATACAATAAAATTACATGCATGAGGCCCATTGTGTAACACTGTGAGAGTGTGCATGTGTCTCCTGAGATAGTACTTACACTTAACCACATTCTCAATGTCAGTGGGGTCCTGCAGGATCTTGGACAGGCCATCCAGCAGCATGGCGGCCTTGCTGTAGCGATAGGCTATGTCCTCTGTCTGCTTGAACATCTCATCCAGAGCTGCTGACTGAACCTAACACACACACACACACACACAGCATTGCTTCAGGCTGACCAGTATAGATATTGCTTTGAAAAACCTGGTGGAAATGATGAGAATCTATGCCAGATTAAATTCCCTTTATCCCTTTAAACCCAGAAGATGTTTTGTGTTTCAGTGCTGTGTATGTGAGACTCACCATCTCCACAGCGTGATTGTAGATGAGCTTCTCTGCGGTGACGCTGTTGATCTCGTCCACAAAGCGCTGCTTGTCAGAGAAGAAGTGGTTGAGTTTGTCAGTCAGCCGCCGGCAGAGGGAGATGCAGCTTTTGTAACGCTCATTCAAATTCTTGACCACTGAGAGAAGACGGGGAGAGGGATTAGTATTTTTTTTGCAGAAGCATGTATTTCAGACATATTTCTCTTCCTATTAAGTACACATACTACTACATAACAACAGCATCTTTCTCCTGCTGAAAAAGAGGGTGACGGCAGAATTCCTCCCTTTTCTCACCTACAGTTTCTAGTTTAATGCACTGGTCATTACTGGGAGATGATGATTGAAATGTCCTTACCCTGTTTGACGGCAGTGGATGGATTGAGCTTGGCTGATTTAATCTGAGCCTTGGCCAGATGGAGGGAGGAAGCCAGGAGCTGTGCTGCCTTCATGTAGAGCACCAACTGCTCCACCTGCCTGTAGAGGGCAACACAACCACAGTATATCAGACAGATGGAAAAGCTTCAGCACTGCAGCAACTCCACTAAACAAAGGGCCTCCTCAGACTACGTGCTATTATTAACTGCATGACATTATTATAAAGTCAGACTAGACCTGAGTCATTCCTTACCCCCACTCTTTGCTGAGTTGGCTGATCTGGTCCACAACCACGCTGTCCTGGGGAGGGTAGAGGGAGGCGGCCGACACGCCAAGCTCCGTCCCTCCGGCTCGAACCGCCGCCATCTCCAGGACGCAGTCGGTAAATGAAAGCATCATCCGTAGGTGCATCAGGGTGTCTGTGTGCTCACGCTGGAGGAAAGTTAAAAAAGAATACCAGTTATTCCTGAATTGATCAATTTACCTCTTAAAAGATGAGAAATAGACACCAAACTCCCCCTCACCTCCATGAGGGTCTCCTCAGGCAGCTCAGGGGCTTCGAATGTGATGAATCCCTCCAAGCTGGGAGGTGAGGTCCCATAGGGGACATAGCGCAGACTGCTGGGTGCCCCGTCCGACCCGGGGACAATCTGCCCGCCAGCAAAACCTCCTGGAGGAGAGCAGCCCATGGCCATGCCTGGTGGAGATCCGACATACACGCGACCACTGGTGGAGCACAGGGAGCCGGCTGAGCTGTTGGAGCCCACTGAGGTGGTGCGTGGTCGTGTGCCCAAATGGCTGCAGGTAGGAGGAGTGCTGCTGTTAGGAGGTGAGCCCACGGTGAAAAGGACAGTACGGGGACTCGCTGACCCGCCCTGAGCCAGCCCACATGGACCTGCAGGGGCTTTGGGAAGAGGAAATGTAGCTGATTATTTCTCTGTCATACACAAGTTTAAATGAAGCATCATAGCTATAAAAAAAAAAATGCAGGAACAGCACCTGTCTGACTAAATGAGTGAACTAAGGCAACCTGTGGTAATTAACACTGTCTATTGTGTTTGCAGCAGTGTGCCCATACCTGTGTCCATGGGTCGCTCTGTGTTCAAGCTGTCAGTGCTGCCCTGATAGGCCTGTCCACCCAGAGTGATTCTGATTGGCTGCTCAGACAGACGACCCGTACTAACAGACCTGGAGGGAACCACAGATAACGCAATGTGGGGGAGGGGGGTTAACACACAGATTCTTGACATTTCACCTTTTACATCATTCTTACAATGTTCCCATTACGTTTGAAAATGTAAATATGCATGAAGGGAGTTAGATATCAAGGGTCAGTTTAGAAGCATTTAATGTCGGACCCAGAACTGTGTAATCTGAAACAGATTTTATTTTTAATTTCTGTTCTCAATTCAGTTTAGTTTCATTGAGTTTTTATTAGTTTCAGTGTTAGTTATAGTTGTTCTAAATTATAATATGGGGGGTATTTGTTAGGGGCAACAGTTAGTTACAATAGAGATACATTGACTCCCAGTCATGCAGACATCCCATTCTCAATAAATATAATGCTTCCTCATGCAAATTTTACCGAACAGACTAAAAAACAAGACATTTCCTTTGTATTTTTGATGTAGTTAGTTTTGTAAGTACACAATATTGTTTGGGGTAGGTTTTGGAGGTTTTTTCTGTTTGTTTCAGTTAACCAAAATGTTTTTTCAAACAAAATGTAGCCAGTGCTCCATTTAAACCCAGCAAAATGAATCAAGATAATAAAATGACATTTGCGTCCAGTCCAACGTGTCACATTAGATTTCATTCAGTTGATGGGCTACATAGCTATGAGTGTACTACTGATTAACTGTACAATACATTCTGTGTGCAAAAACCTGAAGAGCACCATGTCACATCTTATTTAGAGAACGACCAGACCAGAACAGAACAGATTAAATCTGTCTAACAAGCTTAGATGAAACCAAAAGAAAAGTGATGTAGTTCTGTGTAAGAGGACATGTGTCTTTCAGTGAGTCCTACCTGCCAAACGTCCTGCTGGCCTCGGGGGCAGCTGGGCGCCCGGTCAGGTACGGACTGCAGTGGTGGGCACAGATATCCCGAGCATCTGCCAATGTCTTGGTGGGGACGGGACTGTCTGCCAGCGCCATCAAGTTACAGGACGCCTGCGTTTTGGGGATTTTGAACGGTGTCGAAATGGTCTGAATGGAAATAAATAAAATACTTTAACAAATTATATTTTTGTTGATTTGGTATTGACCATCTACACACCCAACACTTGCACTGACCTTAGTTGGGGAGCCGATGATGGTGGGCAGTGGAGACTTCTGCAGCCAGTCAGACGTGCGGGGGGAGGAGCCCAGGAGCTTGGTGGGGGAGGAGCCGAGGTTGGCCGGTCGGCCAAGCTGAGGGGAGTGGCTGCAGGAGGAGGAGGAGGGCTGAACAGGGTCCGATAACTGCTTGTGAAGTTTCTGCCTGGTCTGGTAGACCTCGGTGAGGGTTGGGGAGCTTTGGAGCCGAGCCCCCAGGAGCTGAGAGGATGGGACGGGAGAACCTAGAGAGGGTAAAGGGAATGGATTCGAATCAGTTTAAAAAATGCAGCAGGGAGTGATGCTGCACGTGACTATTTCTACCCATCCAACAAAAGTAAAACAGCCCTGAGACTTTCCAGAGAGACTATCCATTGGTCATAAAGTCTGCTTGTTTGTGTCAGTTTCCAAATAGGGGACAAAGTACTGCTCTCTGTCTGGCTGAGGCCTCATTTCAGACAGTAAACTGTAACTTCCCTCTTGGTCACCATGACAGCAAACCTCTTGACACAAACAGTGAAGAAGTTTTAAGATGTCTGCAGTGTTAATATAACAGCAGCGTCAGATACTTTTAAGAAGACCTTGACTCATGGTGACTCATGCACTTTGTCAATAATCAAGTCATGACACACAGGAGAGAATCATAACAACTCCAAACTGCAGTAAATGCTAATACTGCCGACTTTAAATGGGGCTGTACTGTTTAGTTGTTAGTGTTCTATTAATTTTTTTTTGCACATTGTAATCCATACTTTGCTTCTTTGTATCCATATGGTACATCCTAGTAGTTGTTATTTGTGGGTGCATTTGCTAAATTCCAATTTATGCTCCGCTGTTCTTTCATATTAACCAATAACCATGTCGCTGTTTCGACAACCCATATGAACAAGCTGGCACAGTAAGATGCGAGTTAACCCAGTGAACAGGCCACGTAGAGGGCAGTTGAACTGACCTCCTGAGGAGCTGCGGCTGCGAGGCTCATGGTTCTGCAGGTGGCAGCAGCAGTGACCCAGCTGCTCAGGGATGGTTCCCACTACAAACACAAACAAGTTATTTTCATTGGGACCAAGTCCAATTCATGTCTTGGAGGTGTTATTAAAAAGCCTGATGTGCTTGGGGACATGTCGGGACATGTCCTTACCAAGAGGTGAGGGGGAGTAGGGCCGGGAGCTGCCAGTGGAGAGACGCCTGCCTACTGTCTGAGGGACGTCTGCAGAGCTGGGGGACCCTGAGCCCACCTTGGGAAACCCCATAGGACTAGTGTTGGAGCGCCTCACTGTGCCAGACCTAGAAGACACAAACACAGATCAGAAAAAACATGAAATACATAGACTATAGTAAGTCATTCCGTTTTCAGGGCCATGAGAAAAATGCCTTATTTAACACTAAACCAATCCAAAGTGTTAATAAATAAATAAATAAAATTCTTGGCTTCATCAAAGATTCAGTTATTCCACTTCCCTCTCCCAAATGACTTATTTTTTTCCCCTTTTGGCTAATTTCAACCAGTTTTGCCAGTTAGTAAATACTTGATGGCTGCTGAGACAACCCATTACTGCTGCAAGTACTGTACGAGACCTCAGCACAGTTTTGAGTCACACAGCAACGGAAGCATGTGTGGGAGCATTTGCTGTGCAGATTGCTCATTTCAAAGCTATCACACAAAATATTTGCTACAACTGCAGAGTTGCAGTATGTTGTGGGAACTCGTGAGATACACTACATCATCTGAGGTATGTGAAAAGTCAAATGTCCTGAATACAACTGCAGAAGGTACAGATTTTATTAAAGATGCCCTGTTAAGTTTGTATGTAAACATAACTTTTATTCGTTTACAGGGAGTGTTTATCCCTGAGGTCTAACAAACTAACTAAATGCATCTCCTCCCCCATTAAATACTTGCAAAGGAGATTTTTTTAATGTGCTACATCCATGTTCGAAAGCTAAAAGTTTTCTCCTTTCTTGCCTTTGTTTGTACATTGCTATGTTTGTGTGTTGCCCCTCAATCAGTCAAACAACTGAAACCAGCAGCAAGAATGTTGGCAACATATCTAAAAATGGGGACCCACTAATCAAAACATTACTCCATAGTGCTACTAATGGTCAAAAACTCCACAGGGAACCTCTAATTTGTCCCCACCTGCATGTGGCAGGCAAACTGCGCTTATCTGTTACATTTAGAAGGTAAAAAATATTGCAGGTGCACAAAGCACAACATACTAAGAGCTCAACACAAATCACATTACGTCCTTCTTCTGGTTTCCAGCGTTATGATGATGTCTTCTTGTGAAATTGGAGCAAAATTACACATTACACAGTAAATGAAGTTCTACCTGTCACATTCCTTGCTCCTTAAAGTGAGAATAACAATACCAACGCATTAACAAGGGCTTCTGATAGGTCAAAGGGACAGAGTGTCACAGCTCTAATCCTCCCAGAACAGACTGATGAGACAGGACGGCTACAGAGTGGGACAGCTAAGCAAAGGAGCACAGCTAGGGTGAGAGGGTGGTTAGAGGGACATTGTCTGTCCTTCAGAATCTAAACTCCCATGGGTGTACACAGAGGTCGTTTGAACAAGCTGCTACTAGAGAACCATTAAGCAAATCCTCATCTTTAGAGCTACAGTCACCACAGAAAGAATTTAATGACAAATGACAAAGCCAGCAACCACCAGATGAACACAAAAGCCAGCTCAGTAACCCTCTTAAATAATAAACACATTAGCAATACAATACAGCTGATTACAGTACCTCCTCTGTTCTCCTTTTTTCAGACTGTATATAACAACAGAGCTAATCTTCCTGTGAAACAAGGTGCCACCCTTCTTTCTTCCTCTGCCTTCCAATCTGCTTTGTCTTCACATAATGCCGCCAACAATCCCTCCCAGCAACAGGTTGGGAGGCCACAAACTCAAGCAGGCACTTAGCTGATGTAATTTCAGTGAAACTTTATGGCTGATGAAATAATGGCCCGGGTTTTCAATGTCTTGCCTGAAGGTTCACTCCCAAAAGGTGCGTGAAAAATTAATCACAAGTTGACTTTGACAAACAGCTGCCCATTCCAGGTGTTTCACTACTAATCACTTAAAAAACCTATAAATTATGCAGAGTTAAGTCAGAACCATCCAGCAAGCAAATGCACTTCCTTCACGCTCAGACCCAGCAGAGGTGGCTCTTACCTGGGGGAGCTGTACAGCGTGGTGGTCGGGCTGCTGGAGAGGTTCTGCTTGATGCGCTGGTAGTTTCTGATCTGGGTGGGAACTGGGATCGGGGTGGTCTCAGCCCGTGGGGACACCATGGGCGTCTGTCCCGAGGTGGGCTGCGGCTGCCTATAGGGGAAGATCGGGGAGACGAGGGCTGTTAGTAAGTCTGCTGGAAGCTGCTGCTGCTTCCATATCCACAGGACATCTTCAGGAGTGTCAACACCCATAAAAACTGAAATCTCCACAAGGCTACTGCTTGTGTAATAAGGAGAAGCTTTGTTTCTACAGCCTCGGGTTCTTTGTTTACTTCAGTGTGGAGGCAGGTTGAGAAAAAGTTTAGCCTGGCTGATCATGAGGGCGGAGTCAGTGAGGGGAAAAAAAAGGGGGCCAGGCTTCCATGTAAACACAGAGACAGAACCAATCAGCTTTAAGCTCAGTCTGCAGGGGGCAGGGCAGGGGGCAGGGCAGAAGGCTGGGCTGGCCAATGGCACGTGTGAGGCAGGGCCTCTGTGTTCAGCAGACACAGGAGGGGAAGTGCAAAGAGACACAGCTCATTTGCATTCTTTTGTTATTCCAGAAGAGACAAAATGTTCTCGAACATAAAGTCATGACCCAATCACCTGCAGAGGGCCTTTGCCTACATATAGAAAGCAAAAAAAGAGGAGGAGATGAGGAAATGGCCGTTGGAGAGCGGTACCAGTTGGAAACCAGTATTATGTAATTATGTGAAGCCTGGGAGGGTCTAGAAGGGAGAGAGGGGGACACGTGAGAAAAAGACTAGTCCAGACAAAGAACCACAGAGCAGCTGCTTTGTTGGGTTCCTGCAATTCTGCGATATAAACGTGAGCACGTGCTGTTCTCCACACACTTAACACCATCAAGAAGACATTTGATACAGTAACCCATGATGGAGGCTTTCTATTTTTCTCCAGGTTGCTGAAAGCTTTATTAATCCCAACCGAGGCTTAATATGGAGAGGAAAGCTGTGTGTTGTTGTCCCCTTGTTAAAGAGAAAGAGAATTTGTAGGTCAGCGAACAGCTGCTTTTTAAAAGGAGGCAAGAGTGAAAAGAGGAGAGAGAGGAGAGACTCACTCTCAAAGTCAGTTGCCTCTCCACTGACCTGGTTTTTACCAAGCAGCCCCGGAGAGGGGGATGGGATCAAACAATTCCAGCCCCTTTCTTTTTCATAATTTGTCACTTGTGTTTCTCGTCATTCAATATAAGGGAATTCCCCACATTCCAATTGTCTCTCTTTGCTGCCCTGCTTTCTTTACAATGCTCATCTCTCCAGACATCCTGCTCTTCTCTCCATCTCCCCCCAAGCCCTCCCTCTATCTCCTTCCTCAACTCCAATCAATTTAGAACACACAGAGTGCAGAGGATAAACAGGGCTATGATTTAGGAGCTCGTCAAGAGTGTGGCTGATGTTACTAAATTGCAAGGGACAACTGTAATGAATTAAAAATTGGTTTCTCCTGTGTCAATGGTTAACTAATGTATGTAAGCAGTAAAGAGTTATCGCTATGGAGAAAGCCATTAAGAGGACAGAGGGAGGGAGTAAAAAAGCTGGCAGCGTGAACGGTCGGTTAGAGGAAGATGAGACGGAACAGCAACAACAGATAAAACAGAGAGAGCGCCACAGAAAAGGGAACAGAGAGAGGAGAGGACGGTTTTGGTTGAGGCTGTTTACACAGGCAAACAGGAAAGCAGGAAGGTAGAAGAAGCTTGTTTGTTTGGTACAGACCCCAACAAATGTTACATCATCACGATTTGAAATGAAAATTGGGATGCAAAAATTATCATTCCCACTAATAATCCCATAATTAGGGGATGCACCGATACAGCCGCAGACATCGGTATCGGCCGATGTTCACTTTGTTGACTTGCATCGGCCTATCTGCAAATAAGAGGGCATTCACTGATGTCAGTGGATGTTTATCTCTAGTGTTGCATCAATTTTGCACTGGTTAAATGTGGTTTTGGTTATTTCCAACTTGGATATTAATAGAAATAATCCCCTCAGTTTTACTCTGCAACTCTGCATCTCACATCTTGGATGAGAAGAGAAATAGACTGAGCTGCAAGAAGACAGAGATGCTTATATGTGTAGATTTCTTTGTTTCTTTGTCTCTTTGGCACAAAAGGGCAAATAAATAACAACAACAAAAACATTGGTATCAGCCCAGAATTTCAAAATAATTGCAATATGATTTTTTTAAACTATATTTTGCAGCTCAACATCCTACTAACAAATATTGTGTGTGTATCTAAAGCCGGACATATCCTCTTCCTTTGTGCCAAAGAGCTCCATTATTGTCCAAAACACATCAATGAGCCACACCGCTGCAGTGAGTGACACATTGCTTCATTACCACACTGTCCTTTATTTAACTAACACAGTGTTAGTTAAATAAACAGTGTTAGCTTCCCTGGTTAAATACAGTGACATTTCCCTGCTGTGCCATGTTCTGCCCATTTAAAGTTTCTGAACTAACTGCTGGACATGAGGTTGAACTGTGTATGGTGAGTAGTATTGTAGTAGAGGTAAATTCTACTAACAGGAGTTAAATCTGAAGATAAAGAGGTCAGTAAATGGTGCAGTGCTAAGAGAACGCAGCTGCAGTACATGTGAGCGTGTTTTGATCTTTTAGTACACAGCTGAGGCACAGTAATAACAGTCACAGTCAGTTATTGCAGCCAAGTCTATTCTTATCCCACAGCCCTCGGTGGGTCAGGTTCTTTATTTAGCACAGCACCACCTTGTTGTTTGGCTCAACATCTGATTCATAAGTCACTAATTGTGCAGATCTGGAGGTGGGCAGAAGAATTCACTCAAGACAAATGAGACAGTGAGTTTGTGTGATATCTGGTGTGAAGCTGAGAAGAGGGTGGTCAGAGAGACAGAAATAGTGAGACAAAGAAAGCCTCAATGACACAAAAACACATTAAGAATAGAGATGACCTTAGACACATACACATGAACTCAAGGCTGTGTGTGAAATGGAATCTGACTCACAGCGTCATGTCATGCTTCCATTGCATAGTCAGTCTATTTTTTAATCTGACTCTTGTCAACATCCAGTTCACACCCCATGAACTGTATCTGATATGTTAGCAACGCTGGGTTACATTTCGCATTTCAACAAGAATACAGCATCTGCAGCATTCAAAGAAAAAATTAGAATTTTATATAAGAACAAAATATTACACCAACTTTTGGTGAGGAAAATGGCCTCCGGACACCAACCCGATTATTGGCCGT